TCTTGGAGACCTTGGGGCAGCCCCTGGCTCTTGCACACAGCGTGCCTGCTTTTCCTTATAGTAAACTTGATTCTGCTTCTCTGCAGCAGCTGCACACCTGTTGCTTCTATTTCTGTCCTGCAGCATCAGTCATTCCTTTTCCTCATGACATACCTTCAGATACTTAAAGTCAGCTGTTTTGTCCTTGTCACCCCACAAAAAAAAAAGAAAGAAATTCTCTTTTCTCAGCCAAACGTCCCCAGTTCTTCCTGTCATTGTACAGTCTCTCCTCCAGTCCTGGCACTGCCTTGGTGGTTCTGCTCTGAGCTAATTCCAGCATCGTTGTCCTCTAAACCAGCCCCCTTCTCTTACTGAGGAGTGAATGGGCGTGGCCGGAGCTCTATGAGGCATGCCCTGGGACATCTGTCCTTGAGTTTTAGAAAGCCAAGCGTTACAGGGCTGCTACTGAACGAGGGGGGAAAATAAGTCGGGGGGGGGGAGTTTGGGGCAAGTACCTGAATTCTCTTCCATTTCCTTCGTAGCTCCGATTCTTTTGGCCCTCGTGGCAGGAGAAGCAGCTGGGATCATGGAAAACATCAGCGATGACGTGATAGTTGGCCGCTGTCTGGCCATCCTCAAAGGCATCTTTGGAAGTAGCGCTGTGCCTCAGGTAGGGAGTCTGCCCCATCTTCTGCAACAGCACAGGAGTTCTCATTATGGATTAGGGAAGAAGGCACCAACAAGAATTGTGATTTGTAAGGGAGAAGCAAAGTGTTTGGATCAGCCATCCCTTCTGAAGCACTCTGCTGAGTGTCAAACATGGTCAGCACTCAGGAGATTTTCCAGCACCACCGTAGACGAACCACATCCTTCCACTGGAAACATAGCATGTGTCCCTCAATGCCCTTTTCATGCATGGAGGTTAGAAAACAGAGTGTGCCTCCAAAGGACATCAAGGATTGTGTGTATCCATTTCCAAACCATGAGTATTTTTGAAGGCTGTATTGGTGTGGGTGAGCTTCACATGGGACTGGATCTGTGATTGAATTAGAATAGGTGACTTCCAGTGAGGAAGCCCCCCTCATTGTCTGTCGACACCTTCTTTGCAACTCATAGTCCCAGAAGGTTGCCTGGTGGTTTGAGAGATTAAGTGACTTGCTGGGAGTCACACAGCCATACGTGACAGGTGGGACACAAACCCGGCTCTTCCAAGGCCAGTTTTCTGTCCAACAGTGCCCTGCCCCTCAGCTTCACACAGTGAGGCCAAGTCAGTGCTGGTAAATGGCTTTTAGTTCCTGTTAGGATTTGGGGATTCATAGAAAAGTCACAGGAAGACCTGGAGACGTCCTGCATCACTTTGCCAAAATGGTATCCGTTGCTCCCAGGGCTCAAACAGGCTCTGATATGCTCTGTCCACCCAGCCCTAGGATTGCTCTGAATCTAGTGGTTCTTCACCTCAGCCCCATACCAGCTTCTTAGAGGTGACTTATATGTGCTTTTAATTAAAAACTGGACCCCATGTCTTTTTTTTTTCTCTCCCTAGCCTAAAGAGACAGTGGTGTCGCGATGGCGTGCTGACCCCTGGGCCCGGGGATCCTACTCCTACGTGGCAGCTGGATCATCTGGCAATGACTATGACCTGATGGCTCAGCCGATCACTCCCGGCCCTGCTATTCCGGGGGCCCCGCAGGTAAGAAGCCACACAGAGCTCCTCTGTCAGGGGCCTGGACCCCAGCCTCCCACACTAGAAGGTGCTTCGGTCACTTAGCACTGTGGTCTCTGGGATCTGAAGGAGCTGAGGGGAGGGTTGGCTTTAATCCCAGCTGTGTGACACTGGGTAAGTCACTAAACCTCTGCAGGCCTCTCATTGGTAAGAATGGAAGGGGGAGGTAGGTGATCTCAGGGGTTCCTTCCAGCTGCTCCCAGTATTCGAGGAGTCTGTGAGTGAGTGGAGGGGAAGTAGCATGTTTCCAGATCAGGCTGTAGTCCAAGGCACTGTCCCTGTTGGTCTTGTAGAAGATAATGAAGTGTGCTGAGCACATGAAAACTTGTTTTAAATCATCAACACAGAAGTTCATGGTTTTTGTTTAGCTTAGAATTAGCCCTCTCCACCCAAGAGCTAGGTGTCTGCCTTGCGGAGTCAGCCAGGTATCCTGGGGTGCAATAAGGAGGCATGGAATAAGGTCCCACGGGAGAGAGAAGCCGAGTGGTTGGTTCATTTACAACAAAAGTTTGACCCAGGGAATCATGTCCGAACCTGCACTTCCTCAGCTCTGACAGGTTAATAACGCAGGAATGATTTCCTGGTGCTGATGAGGAGTGCTCTTTATAAACGTGGGCAGGCTCTCTGGGAAGGAGAGCAGGTATTATCGGAGTGGTGTCTGGGTAGGATGCTTGCATCATCCTCTGGCTCGTTGACTAGGACCAGTTGGGGAAGGATTTGGGAGGGGGTTACATGATAACAGTTTTCAAGTATTTGAAGAGCTTTCACAGACAAGACTCCTTGTTCTCCAGCCACAGACTGCAAAAGTAGGACCAGTGGGCAGAGACAGATTAACCTTAGAACTCCATAGAATGGAGGGGGCTGTAACAGGATGTGGTCGACTGACTTCCCGTCCCTAGAGGTCTTCAGACTTAGTTTGGGGAATGTTAGAGATTGGTCGCTGCTGAGGTATGCATTAAACGAGCTCCCTCCCCTCTGTTGCCTTACGCCCCCTAAAACGAGCCGAGGAGCTGGGGCTCTGACCTGATACAGGCCCCGGGACTGGACCCAGACTGAGTGGGGTGGGAGGGTTGCCCCAGGGGCACGCAGTCTCAACAGGTCTGTCACATCACTGGGAGCCTGGAGCCCACGAGAGCGAGCTGGGAGCAACTGGGAGCTAGCTGACTGTTTTTCTCTCTCCTCTTTCCCAGCCTATCCCTCGACTGTTCTTTGCAGGCGAACACACTATCCGTAACTACCCAGCCACCGTCCACGGAGCTCTGCTGAGCGGGCTGAGGGAAGCCGGGCGGATTGCAGACCAGTTTCTAGGTGCTATGTACACTCTCCCTCGCCAGGCGACCCCCGGGGTTCCCGCCCCACAGCCCCCCAGCATGTGAGGCTGAGCTGAAGACACTTGTCTCATTAGACGTGATGTGCTTTCACTGCAGTAAAGCAGACTCCTGTAGCAATAGTAGATTTCACCAGGAAATTCCTCCTGGTGTCTTTGTCCCCGGGAGGGTGAGCAGAGCCATGGGCTACATGGTGCCCAGAGAAAACCTTCCGGAGTGACTGTGTGGCTGGATGTGAGGAGCACATGACAGACTTATTTGTTCCGTGTCTCACTAAGGCTTAGGGCTCTCAGAGAAGCAGCAGCTGTGGGAATACAGCTGAAGGAGGGACTTTCTCTTTGGTTTGGCTTGGGTATTTTTTTTGTTCATTATTATTTTTTAGAATAAAAGTTCCTATGAAAAGCCACGCTCTTGGTTTTCCATCATTCTTGTCTGCTCTGGGCCTGTGGTGGTACCTCACCTTCTCCTCCCCAAGCACCACAGGCCTGTCCTTGAGGACCCTTCTGGAGGCTTCGAGCACCTAGCCTTTTCTCATTAGCCACTGCTTTTGGGGGGCAGTTGTGGGCATACACAGACTCCCTAAAGAGGTCAGCAAATGGTTATGTGCCTGCTGTGTGCAAGGCACAAGGGAAATAATACAAGTCCCACGTGTAACAGGCCCCATCCTCGCCTTGCTGAAGATGAGGGGAAAGGTAAGCATGCAAATAACTGATAGAAGGGAATAGTCTGGAAACTCATCCCACCTGCCGCTGCCATGGGTCCTGTTTGCTGAACGGCCCTGGAACATGAGGCAAGAGGTGTACTTAAACCGGAAGTCCAAGACGGATGGGAAAAATAAATGCATCATTTATTTCTACTAACACCACCTGTTATGAATGTGGGCCACAAAATGTTCTGCCAAATCCAGGGTCCCGGGGGAGCTAGGTAGCACATTGGTAGAGCACCGGCCCTGGAGTCATGAGGACCTGAGTTCAAATCTGACCTCAGACACATAACACTAGCTGTGTGACCCTGGGCAAATCACTTAACCCCATTGCCTAGCCCAAAAAACAAAACAAAACCAGGGTCCCCTGATGTAGGGGAAAGGGGGCATGTCAGAGAAGTGTTAATGTGGGAACAGGACTGTGATGGCTGGAGCTAGTCATGACCAAAGGCTGAAGTAAGCACAGGCACAGATAAAAGCAACTTGCGATTGTGATGCAGGGTCTAAGATTTGTTTGTTTGTGAAGTACTAGAGAAGGATGGGAGGTAACTGAGAACCAAATTCTAGCCTTAAATGCCGTGAACTTTCTACTTGGCAGTGCTGCATGTGGACATCCAGACTCGGCAAGGCCAGATGGATAAAGAGGATTAGTGCTGGAGTAAAGTAGGACCAGAGAGCTCACTTCTGACACTGGGCACCAGCTTAGTGCAGAGAGCCCCTGAGCTTTCAGAGTGTGCCGAGGAGGCGAGTCCCTCAGCTGGACTTCTCTGGAGGAACAGACCTCACACACATCCTTTTCAGCACAAACGTGTAATAGTCTGAAACAGATCCATTCTAGTGGCAGATGGGACTAGTTACCAAACAGGAGGGATCTTTGGCCTCTACCATTCACCACTCTAACTTGCTGTTTGGGAAAAATGGGGAAGAAGGGGGTTTCCATGATGGCAGTGGCACAGGTTGGGAATCCAGAGCTGGGATCCTGAGCCCTGCCACTCAAATAGCTGCAAGGCCTCTGTATCACTCAGCCTCACTCACTCAGTGTTGCCCCATTTTCAAATGAGCGGTATTGGCCTAGATTGTCATCCAGCTGTGGTGTTTCTAGGCCCGTTGCTAACCAAATTATAAAGATGGCCCACTGCAGCAGAAAATCGGCCCCACCTTCTGGTACCCTGGCATACAGGGAAAGACACCCACTGTGCATGCGCTGCAGTGAAGACTGGCGATGCCATCCCCAGGCGGATCCAGCACTGACCACCAGACACAAGCAGCACGTAGAAATTGGAGAGCTTTATTGGTTACATATCGTGCTGTAGGGCTGACAGACAGCTTTAGGGCCAGAGGATACATGCAGACAAACGGGCTTCCACTAAACATGCACGCGAGGAGCGTGGGGCTGCAGCTCCCCTGGGAGCCGAGCCCCACCTCCCCCTGAGGCAGGAGCCGCAGTGGCCAGGCTGCCTCCTTATCTCACATGCTTAGAGCGAGAATAGTGGTGGGGCAGCACCAGGAGCAACCTCGGCCTCTCCTGGAGCCAGGCACCGGACCGAGTTAGCTGGAATGGGTTGACTTGGAGAGAGACTGGAAGACACAGCAACGAGGGTTAGTTTTCTGCCTGTAACTCAACAACTTGATAGGACTACCTCCCTACCCCACCAAACTTTTAAAATACAAAAAAATATATTTTATTCTTTTAAAAATACATTCCATTCATACGTGTTCTGAACTGCTAAGCAGCAGCAGGAGAATGCAGCACCTCTCCTATCGCAGGATGGACAGCCACACTGTCCGTCCGTCCATCCATTGGTTGGAGCCAGGGAGCTCCCCTGGAGGGAACTTGAGAGGACCACCGTAGGCCTGGAAGCACCAGTTCAGAAGCAGCCTTTGGAAACCTCCAAGTGGGGATGGTGGCACAGACACCCACCTGACAGCCTGAGGAGGCAGGGTCAGCCCAGCAAAGCAGACACCAACATCTTTCCCCAACCGTCACGACTATCAGTGTCTACCACAAGAGGCTACTGAATCCCCTAGCTACTTACTCAGGGGCTCAGAACAGTATCAACCCCAGCCTGACCAGGGGGGTTTGTGTGCAATCTCTCCTGGAGGTGTAGGGGCTTCTGTACCCAGTGACCCCTAAAGTCCTTTTAACCTAAGAGTTTATTCTTTTCATCCTGTGACCCCTGAGACCTGCGTGAGCCCGCAAGTCCACTTCACAACTCTCACGTCCTCCACTCCGGAAAGGTCTTCGTCTCTCTGTAGCTGGCTTCACAGATCTCGGCAGCCAAGGGAGCACTGGGTGCAGGGTGTAAAGGAAAGGCACAGGAGGAAGGCTGGCTCACTACTCAGACTCACCATCCAATTTCAGGCTTCATTAACCCCAACTCCACCAGCTTCCTCCGGTGTGCTACAGAAGTATCTGGAGACTTTAGAATGCACCAGGCCTCCCACCCACACTCCACTCTACTCCTCATCCAAAGACAACTTTTTTTATGAAAAGCAGTCATCCTTGTCTAGAGGATTTGGTTTGAAGGCTTGCTCCTCCGCCAGGCCAGAGTCCCTTTCCACTTCCAGCAAATGGGCCTCCATACCCTAGGAGTGGCAAGGCATTTCAATCCAAGATGGGATGGGATGGGATGTCTTGCAGCGCCTCCAGCTACTTCTTAGGAAGGTGCAGTGAGTGACACCATCATGTAGTGTATAGCATCTTAACTTTGGAATTTGCTGAACCCTACGGGATCCTCACCACTGCCAAGCCCAAAAGAGCCAGGCCTCAAACTCTTGGCTATACAATTATACCCAGTATTTTCTGCAACACCAAGAACTTTAAAAAATAAATCTATCAGGGGTCCTAGAAACTGTGCAGGTTGGGGGGAGGGGAGGTGAAATATTTATCCTGAAATATTAGTTACAATCAAGCCCTATTGCACTCAGGTTTCAAGATGGTGGTCCCAGTAAGGGGCACCATGGTTTATCTCTCTCCCACATGGCATCTTTGTTCCACAGCGGCAGTGAGCAGTGCCACTTAAGCTTGGTAGAGTCACGATGTTGGCACCTAGCTGAATGTACAACAGACACACAGGAGTCTTTCTGTTCAAGCTCTAGAATCTCAGGACATGAGGAAAGCCATAAGAATCTGGACTTGAGACTTTCTCTGTGACCAAAGACTGCCTTCGAGTGCCCCATGAACAGGGAGCCTCCATGTCCCCCACTTTCAGCAGCTATCACCTGAGAGGGTCCAGGGCTTGCAGACCTCCTGGAGCTCCCAGCCAATGGAGGAGGATCAGCCTTGGGTGGCTTCGTGGAGAGTGCTTTGGGACAAGCAGCTTGCTAGGTGTTAAAACCAGAAGCTTAGCTAAGGGGCCCCGCCTGCTGGGTCAGTGGAGAGGCAGGGAGTCAGTTTGTACACATAAGGCGGGGACTACGGCAGCTATGGGGAAAGGTAGGACAGCCCAAGTAATACAAGCCCACATTTGGCAAAATGTGAAAATGGAGGTATGAGAGTGGTTCCTGCATAGCAGCCAGGATGTGGAACTCCCAGGCACAGCCTGAGAAAAGGGTCAGCGCGTCCTTGAGCCCCGCCAGGGTCCAACCCAGACTCCAGAGAATCAAGGATCTGTTCAGCCCTGGTTCCCAAACAAGAACCTTAAAATAAACCAGGTGAGTTCTTACAAAGGAGGATTAAAGGATTAAGGGACCCCCCCCACCCCCACCCCAAACCCCCAGCAAGGCAAGGATAAGATGGGATGTAGAGAGAGAACATTGTCAGCTGGGAGTCAGGAGAAATGACCTAGCCATGTGACCTCAGCTAAGTCATATTAACTAACTCCCGTGGCCCTCATTTTCCACCTCTGTAAAGTGAGGGACTTGGGTTAGCTGGTCCCTTCCAGCTCAGCATTCTGGGGAAGGGGGTTAGGAGCCAGGCAAGCCCAAACCAACGCCTTTCCAACGTGGTGAACCCAACCGTCCTTGAGCTCCTGAGCAGGGAGCAAAAGTTAAACCCAATGAAGTCAATGACTGGCTACGCCTAAGTTTGGCATCTGCACAAAGCTAACTACTCGGGCAATGGCCCAGTAATTGACTGATCACTAAAGTTTTTGATTAAAAAAAAATTCTGCATGTGGAATTTGGGAAAATTTGCTGCATTCGGAAATCTGAATCATCCTTTCCCTTCCCCCACTCTACACCCAACTCCTAGATTTTCCCCTCTCATTTTGCTGATGGAGGCAACAGGCAACTACAGTCCACAGAAATCTCCTTTCCAGCCAACCTTCAAGGATTGCATTGACTCAGTAAAGTGCGGTTCTCAAGGGGGAAGGGGTCAGGGGAGAAGGCAGGGGCAGGGGTGGGCAGCACACAAGTGTCTGCCTCTCCTTGAATCTATTGCTCCACGGGACAACAAATGGGAAGGAGGTTCATCCTGACTAGGGGAGGGGGGAAAGGGAGTGTGCCAGGTGAGGCCTAGCACGGTCTCAGGATCCACGCCCCCTCCCCGAGTGGGGTGGGGATGACACCCTGCTCTGAGAAGTCAAGGTGAGGCTTGCAGCCACGGAATCCTGCAGGCAAACTCTTGAGCCAGCCAAGCCTCCAGTGCTTGGTGAAGGGAATATGGAGGGGCGTGGACCCTTCTGTGTCCTCTTAAGTGGTGTCTGGAGAGGTCTGGCTAGGACGTGTCACTGATGGATGGCCCTTCGGGGAACAGCCAACTCAGTCCGGATACCCAAGATGCCACCCTGGGGCATGGGCTCAGTGACCCCCAGAGTAGCCTCCAACCAGACACACTGCTGTTCATTGGCTTGGAAAACCTCCAAGTCAAGAATGCTCAGAGGGAGAGAAGAATGGGAGATGGCTTTGCAGCTGGTGGCTGAAGGGTATGTGGTCAGAGAGCATCCCCTTGGGGCAGACCACGGAGTGAATCCTCTGCTGGGAGTGGAGAATTAAAATCTTGGAAATCACCCCAGCAGAGCGGGAACCACCTGCAAGACAAAAGCCAAGAGCAAATCAGTGTGGAGGAGGGAAGAGAAAACTGCAAGGTTTCTACAAGAGAGAGCAAGAGAAGAGGGCGTACGTTTGAGGGAAGAAAAAAGGCACTGGCAAACATTCTACTGGCAGAACAGAGGAAGAGGGTTTCCAGTTCTGGATGGGCGCAGAATCCTCTCCTTCCCAGAAACTACAAGGATTCCCTGGATCCAGACAGCCTGGCCTGGTTCCACATAAGGTAGACAGTGCTGTATTGCTCGTGAGGTAGGGAGGCGTGAGGAAGGGCTCTATCTTTAGTGCCAAAAAATGTTCAGACTTTGCTTAAGGTTCATAGATTCTTTGCTCCAATTCTACCCAGGCTCATTCCATGGCAAGTTGCTAAACTTTTCTGGTCACCCCTTGGCCTCTTATTCTGGGATTTATTCAAATTATTTCCCACCTGTACACCTATCCCATTAACTCACTATCTTGGTCCATCTGAAGCCCCCCAGCTAAAAAGCAGGGGTGACCTGAACTCTGTGAGGAGGGGGATGGTGTGGAACAGGAGGAAAGGGCCCCATGGTCTGGCCAAGGGCTGGGGTTCTGGTGGCAAGATGGTGTGACATAAAGTTGCAGCAGAATGTGTCTCACCCCAGTCAGATCAGTTCTCTTCAGAGGAGTGCTTGGCCCGACGTACCCGTTCTTCAGCTCGAACCCGAAGGAGCTCTGGAGGCCGCTTTGCAGGCAGCTCTGGCCTTTCCACACAATTGTGCTGCCATCGAAAGGAGTTGGGGTTACTGCCTTCAGCTTCCTCCTATGGCAGTGAGATCCAGGGAAGTGAGGCATTGGTAGGGAGACTAGGGAAGCCCCTCCCAAAACAAACCCCTTCATCTGGAGACCCCGACGTGCACCAACCCTGGGAGACACATGATCCAGGCCAGCCTATATAGACTCCCTAGAAATCTAGTCTGGCCCCAGTATGTACCAATCCCCAGAAGCCTTGGGGGCCAACACAATTTGGATCGGTCCTGGAGTAGGCTGGGACGGTCTCGGGCCCGACACCTGGGTTTTGAGTCTTAGGTCTCCTACTTCTCAACTCTGTGAACTAAGAGTCATCATGACTCTTTAGGCTCTAATTTCCTTGTTTGTAAAATGGCGGGGTTGGACCAAATGTTCTCTTTCAATCCTAAATCTACAATCCCGAGCTGCTTCTATCTCCTCATCTGAATATAACCGATTGCAATTCCACAACCCAGAAGACATCTGCTTAAACCCGGGATGATGTGGTGAGGCGGGTGGGCGGCAAGGGGGCGTTCCTGTGCGGTAGGAAGCAAGTAGGGGAGCACTTGCCACCACTAGGACGTTGTCATGGGCACAAAGAATTTGAAGAGGCATCACCCATACTTGGGCATCAAAGTTCAGGGAGCCACCCTTTGGGGGGGGAGGTGCTAGAGATTCTACCTGTAAATAGTTAAGACTCAGTTTAACAGCAGTTTTCCATCAGACCTCTCCCTCCCAAAGTGAAGGTTCCCCGTATGTTACCACCCTAGGGAAGAAAGGTGCCACTTTGCTAATGACCTCCTTTGCCCACTTTTCCCTCTTCTCCCAGACCTAACATGTCCCTTTCCATTGACCTCCCCTTCTCTAGCCCTTTTCACTCCATCCTGATTGCTCTCCTTTCCTCCAGGTCCTCCCTAAGTCAGTAATAATGAAGGTTAAATGATTCTAAGTAATACACCTCACCAAGGAGATCACCAAACCTTCTAACAGAGAATGAAACGGTGTCACGTCTGCTTCATCAAAGTAATAGCCCAGTGCCTAACATTCATCCCCGGACGCTCAACTCCAGTACTCTGAACACAGCATGATGCACCCACCACCAGGTGGCTTCAAGGCTTTGTCTTCCTTAGAATGGTGGTCTTGCCCCGAACCCTGAGCCATCCATATAGTCTCACACAAGCCGCCTCCTGACCAATGGTATGAATTTTTGAGATGGTTGGCAAGAGGCCGGCTAACAGGAGCAACATGGCACAGCAGATACAGCCAGCTGCATGACCTTGGGCACGTTCATTTGAGGCAACTTTCTAAGAAGTTGTACAAGTGGGGACTGAGGGTCTTCCTTACCCAAGGATTTCCCATCCAAGCCAGTGAAATCACAGATCTAGTCTCTATCCCTATCAAGGGGTTAGGGATCTGGGGTCAGGGGTCAAAAGTGATTTCACATTGAATGAAAATTCAATCAATATTTGTAAAGTCCCTACAGTAAACAAACTATTGTACTTAGGTCTGAGGGAGAAACAAAGTTCAGATAAGGCAAAGTCTTGTCTGCAAAGACCTTCCACAGCCAGTACTGGAAGAGGCAGCAGAGACACCACTTCTTAGGAAAAGCCCATCCCTCTCTTACCCCTAAGAGACTGTTGGTGACTCTGGTTCCAGGTAGATACTTGCTCAGAAGGCAGCTCACCTACCTGCTTACTGCCTCCCTCCCCCTACCCCCCAACTCGCTCTTCTAGGTATTTCTGGAGCAATCCCCAACTAACCTGGACAGAATCCATCTGGCCTTCAATGAAACAAAGTGAATGCCAAAAGGCCTTCTCAACCTCAGTTGTACCCCTTGGGTAGATGGAGAGAAAGGGAGGAAGAGATTTTGAAATGGTCCCTGTTTATTATCCCCATTAAATCCATTCTCTAAAGCAATGGAAGGCCCAAAACTTTTCTTGTAGCCATAAATTCCTCTGGGTCATGTAGGGGAGGACTCTGTAGGAGGCCAACATTAGAATCACAGAATTTCAGAGACAGAAGGTAACCTAGTGAATAAAGCTCAACCCCTACGTGAACAGCAATCCTATTTTTAACATCCCTGATGAGCAGGGATCTATCCTGCATTAAAATACCTGCACTGATGGGGAACTTATTACCTCCCAGTAAAACCTGTTCCACTTTGGACAGCTCTTACCATTAGGAATGTTTTGGATTTTTTTAAAATACCAACTTCTTCTGCTCCTCTCCCCCTTTGCCCACCTCACAGTCACCCAAATATCCCTAGTTCTACCATCTGAGGTTCAATAACCCCCAGCTGGCCGGTTTCTCACATGGAAGAGTTCCCATCAAGAAGATGGGAAGGGAGAGAAAATGTGGTTCCACATTTGGGGAAACGGAAAAAAAGGGAACTTACCAGGCCTGCTGGGTGATTCAAGGCAGCAGCGGTGACGGAGTCACCGACCCGACTGCGCCTCGTGAGAACCTCTGACACCGTGAGGCTGCTTTGGGTCCTCCGGGAAGACGGCTCAGGGCCATCCCCTGGATTCCCTGCCCCCCTTCGCATGCCCCGCTCGAAGGGAGAGGGCCTGGGCCGCTCCAGTTCTGAGAAATCCGTGGAAGATCTCTGTGTATAGGCATTAGGGGGATCCACATTTTTGCCCCTTTGGGCCGGGGGGTCTTCCAGAGAGTTCAAGTCTCGCCTGGTCCTCCAGGCGCTCCGCACTGTGACGTGTTTGGCATCAGATGGCTCCATTTCCAAAGGGGGACGGTGGCTCTTCCACCGGAGGCTCTCTGAGGGGGGCTCTTGGCTACTCCTCTCCCCAGGCTCTGATGGCTTGATAGTAATACTGCTCCTGGAGACCACTGTTTCTGGCCTGTTCCTCGGGGGCAGGTCCCCGACCGGATCGGCGTCTGCGATCTGCCGCGTGATATCGTTCTTGTTAATGGAGATCTCAAAAGGCAGGCTAATGTGGTTGGTGACCGAGGACATCTCGCTGGGCACCACCTGGATGTTGCTGGTAGATGTGTGTCTCTCTCTCGGGGCTTCACTGGTGCTCCCCCTGGGGCTGCTCACCTCCACGGGGTAGATGGTGATGCAGCTCGTCATTTTGTTTGGCACCGATCTGGAGGTGGGCTTTGGTTTCTCTGAGATGGCCTCTGCCCCGACTCCCCCCATGACCTCTTTCACATCCTTATCAATAATGACAGGCTTAATGACCGCCTTGGACCTCAAAGCCTCCCTGGGGCTGAAGGGCCTACGGCTTTTTACCCCGGAACCACTGGCCTCTTGAAACTCTGCGGCAGCAGTGCTTCTCACAGGTTTCCCGGGTTCCGTGTCGGCCCCAGTGTCTCTATCGTTGTCAAACAGGGGCGTCCTCAGGGCTGCTCGGGACCGCGGCTGCCTTTTTGACTCTGGCTCGGGGGGGATGGTTGTGTTGACTAGCTTGGCGGTGACAAGAGAATCCATGTCCATGTCGTCTTCCAGGTCCAGTCTCTCTCTACCACCAGGTTTGATGACCCTGCACCTAAAGGCTTCATGCTGACTGCTGTCCTCCATCACCACAGATACAGGCTGGTCATGCTCTTCCTTGCTTATGGCTGCAAAGCCCTGCAGGATGTCTTCCTGACTTCTGGAACCATAAGAAGCCTTGGATAAAACTGGAGGCTTCAGACTAGGAGGGCTGCTCTCAGCTTCCTGGCCATTAGCTGGCCTTTTGCATTTTGACAGCCCTTCAGAGGATGATCTCCGAGATGGGGCCAAAGGGTCAGCAGCCTTAGAGGTGCCCAGCTCTGCGGCCAGCCCTGAAGACCCCTGATTTCCACCGGAGGGGTTGAGGATCTTCTTAGCTGATACGGCTTCTAAACAGGTATCCAAACTGGCCACCCGATTCACCCTCAGCACCCTGTTCCCTGCCGAGGCCGAGGTGGTTTCTGTCCTGGTGGCTCTATCGCCATGGCTGGCATCATTAAACACGCGGGATGTCTTTTCCACCTTCCCCTTTAGCCCATTTTCATGTCCTGGCTTGGAGGCTCCCTTCAGGCCTCGATGCTCCTGGGCAGCTGGGGGATAGCGGCTCAGCACTGGCGGCTGTTCCCTGGCCCTCTTGCCTTCGTTCAGAGGAGGGCCAGTTGCAAAGTTGTCATCGGGTCTCTTGGCATCTTGGGAGACATTGTCCATGCCCAGGACAGCGCCAGACGCCTTGGCGGCCCTCCGGTTCACAGCACTGGAGCCGCTACCTGACCTGCTGTTGTGAGGGGCATTGTCATTTCTGAGCACGAGCTCCTTGTAGCGAGGTCTCTCCCCCCTTTTGTGCTGAGGGGAGAGTTCCCGCGACTTGTACCTGGACGTAGGGGACTCGTTGACGAGCCCTCGGTACTTGGGTCTCTCGTGCTGCCGGCCCTTGCCAACCAGGAACGACTCTTCGCTCTCCACCTCCCCATTCTCCAGGTCCTTCTGATTCTTCAGCTGCAGCTTGACCTCTTCCAGCTGACTGGTCAACACCTTGTTCTTATTCTGCTCGCTCAGGTAACTGTCCTTCAGGTCATTGTTCTGAGCCCGCGTTTTCTTCAGCTCCTCCTCCAGAGATTCATAATGTTTGATTTGGGTTTTGAGTTTCTCGATTTCTTGGTTGAGGTCTTTCACTTTGTTATCTTCCTGATCCCGATTCTTTTCATTCTCCGACTTGTTCCGAGTCTCATTCTCCCCCTGCTTGCGATAGTCCAGCATGCCCTTCCTCCTCGCCTCTTTGGAGGGCAGTGTAGACGAGATGCCGTCTTCAATGCGTAGGTCGTTTCTGTCCAGGAGGGTGGAGGCGTTCCTGGGATGGTCCACAAGGTTGACCTTGTTGTTCTGCTCCAGTTTCTGGGTCAGTTCTTTGATTAATTTCTCATTTTCTCTGTCCCTGTCATTTAAATATTTCCTCTCGCTCACAAAACTCAGAGTTAGCGACTTGAGCTTCTCCAGCTCGGACACTAGACTCTGCTCAGTTTTGTCCAGCCTGTCCTCTGAAGTTTCCAGTTCTTTCACCTTGACCCTGAGGGTCTCCAGCTCGGAGGAGATCTTCTTGGTCAGATTCCGCTCCTCGTTCAGACTCAGGCAAAGCTGGGTGCAGTCGTTCTTGCTCCGGCCGAACGCTTCCTCCAGCTTCTCCAGCTCCGCCATCCGTTTCTGGAGCCGCTCGATCTCCGCCTTCAGCTCCCGGGTCAGGCTCTCCTCCTCCTCCAGCTTCTCTTTCATCAGCTGACACAAGTCTTCCGCTCTCTTGATCTCCTCGTCCTTCCCCTCAATCTTCAACACCCGTTTCCGCAGCGCCTCCACCTCGGCCAGCATGCTCGAGTTACTGCCCTCGGCCTGGATCACCTTGTCCTGCAGATCCAGGAGCTCGTCCTCGGCCTTCTGGAGACTTTTGGTGGCCTCCTCCAACTCATCGAGGCGGCGGCCAAGACTCTGCAGCTTGAACCGCAGGTGGCGACTGGAGGTGACCTCCTTGTACCCTGAATATTCCGCCATGTTCAGGCTTCTCTTTAGTGTAGCTCGAGGGAATGAGAAATAGTCAACTCTCTCCTTCTAGCCACAGGGTCTTCTTGCAGCCTGGGACCCTCATCAGTCTGAAGGAAGAAAACGGTAAGGGCATGTGTCAGAAAGCAAACTCCCAGCAAAGCCCCAGAATTTACTCTTCTAAAACACCAGCTCCTCTAATCACAATCTCTAAGGTCAACGGAAGAGACCCCTGTGTTTTATCTGCTTTGCTGCCGAGCTTGGGCCCTCCCTGAATCCAGTGAATCTTAGAGTAGGAAGGGTGCTCAGAAGACATCTAGTACAAGTGGTACCTGTGAGGGAGTCCGTGATGCTGATAACAGCTAATACTGACATAGTGCCTATTATGCTCCTGGTAGGCACTCTGTTAAGCACTTCATAATTACGATCTCATTCGATCCTCACAACAGCCCTGAGAGGTAGGTGCTATTATCATTACTCCTATTTTACAGATGAGGAAACTGAGGCAAACAGCAATCAATTAAGAAAACACATGGATGGTAGTGAAGGCAACTGATGATGGGAGTAATCCAAGGCTGGGGCTTGGCAAGATATGACTGATGATAGGCCAAGGGGGCAAAGTATGGAGGAAGGTTGGAGGTGCAGGCAATGCAGGGGTGACAGCCTGGGACAGAACTGAGGGGAGGAAGTCATGGTGAGAATGAAGAACAGGGTGAGGGGCTGTAAAGCAGAGGAAAAGACAAGATGATAAAATATAAAGAATGACAAAAGAGGATGATCAGATAAAAGAATCTCAGAGCTCATGAACACAGAAGTGGAATACTTATTGTCCATGTCAAGATCAAGGATATGACCCTCTCTGGTGTGTCGCCGAAGTGGAGGAGAGAAGCAGGTGATGGAAATTAAGCAGACTGATGGCCTAGGAGGTAAGGATACCTGAGGGAATATTAATATCGGGGTAGGAGATGGGGAGAAAAATATGTGAGCCAGGAGGAAAGAACATCTCTGGGGTAGGTAGACGTGATTGGGCGATAAATCTGGATTGAATGAACCTCAAAAGAAGAGGGGTTAGTGAGTGTGGAGGGACAGTCTGAAAGTAGTAACGGGGAGCAAGGAGTATTCTAACCCTCCCCCCCCTTCAGTGGGCTGGGGCTGCGGGCGATGAAGGAAAGTACAACCAGTATTGGAAAGGGTGGGGCGGGGCTCAGTGAGATCCTGAAAATGGAGAGAGTGGGAAAGGAAAAGATTTAAGATAAAAGCGAGTTTATGGAGCAGGCATTCCAGAGAGCGCAGTGGAAGATGGCGGCATGAGTGAAGAGTGCAGGCACCAGAGATGGCTAGGGGACAGGTACAATTATATGAGACGTCAGTAAACAAATAGAATCAGAGATGACTCAGGTTCCTGGGTGACTGGAAGGACAGTGGTGCCATCAATAAAACAGGGAAGCAGGTGGGAAGGTCAGGTTTAGGGAGGAGATGATGAGCTCAGTTTTAAACATACTGAGGTGGAGAAGCCAAGTGGGGCTGTCCAGCAAACAGCTACAGACATGGGAAGAATTCATGAAAGAAAGCTGGGCTAGGTACAATGGATTTAGGAGGCATCTGAATGTACAGCAGCAATAATTCAATCTATGGGAATGGAAAAAGTTGCTGAGGAAAATGATGTAGAAGAGAAGGACAGAGGTAAAGTCTTGGGAGACACGCATATTTAAGGAGTAGGGAGATGAAGGAAAATCAAATAGAGGAGAGATGCAGGAGGATCAGGAGCCAGCGGTGCCCAGCAACCCACGGGAGCTCCTTGGAGGGAAGTGCCCAATGCGTACAAGGGTCAAGGAGGAGGAGGACTGCAGACAATGCCACTGCACCTGCCGATGGAGAAGTCCCTGGCCACCTTCTAGAGAGCCCTTGTGGTAGGGTGGTGGCACTGAGGAGCAAACAGATGAGGAGGAAGTTTTAAAAAAGTTTTTAAAAAAACCATGGTGAGGAAAAAAAGAAAAAAACAGAAAAAGGTAGAAATTGCTTTCTAAGAGTTTGCTAATGAAAGGGAAGAAAAGTATAGAGCAATGAATAGCCTGAGAGGGGATGGGGGACAGAGGTGAACATAGTGGAGGAGGTAGGACAGAAACAGAGAGCAATTAGGAATGAAAGCAAGCTCCAGGGGAAGCTCCCAGCGTCAGCCTTTGTGAAAATGCTGCCTCGTCCCAGAGCACAGAGCAAAGTCGGTCCAAGGCCCCATTTTCCTCCAGAAAATAGGAGAAAGGACGTTTAGCACAATGCCTGGCACATAATGTTTGCTTGCTGATGAAGACTAGCACGGGGGTCTGAAGGTGGGAGGAGAAAAAGCAGAACAGCTGCTGTGGGCAAAAAAATTGACAGTTTCAGCCAAATACATATAAAAGCATGGCCCAGCAGCAAGGACCCAGCTGGAATGAGATGAGGTCCCGAGCAATGGTGGCAGAGTGGAGCCGGGAGGGAGCACAGGGGAACAAACTTCAACCCCTTCTGCTGTGGATCCAGATGTCTGTGCAAAAGCAAGCTCAGGGCAGGCTGGAACTGAACACGGGGCAGTGACACAGATAACCAATTGTACCTGTTTGGATTTTTTCAAGCTTTGCTCTGAAGCATCTTCTCTGAGTGTGAGGATTAGGGCACAGACAGAGTGGGGACTTGTGATTCCACTGGTGTAAGAAAGTCTCAGGCAAGGAGACTTTCCGCAGTGCGGTTCAGCACCATCACGGTGTCACTTAAGTCCTCTCTGGAACATGCCCAGGGCCACGCAGAGAACACGTGCCAGCGGCTGTTCCAGATCTTTAAGCCAAGTGACAAGCCTGTTCAATTTTCTGCTTTGATGAAGGGCTGGTCCCTGCCGCCTGGTGGCAGCATCCCTAAATCCCAGAAGCACCCCTGAGGGGTGCTTCTCTCCAAAACATCTTTTGGTGCTATGGTTACAAAACAACGACCAGAAGAAGTCAGGCAGTGAGAGGGGACCAGCATTCTGTCCTTGCAGATAACACAAGGATGGCAGGGTGAACAGCAAAGCCAAGATCTCAAAAGACCTTGACGTAGGCTGAACCCAGGGCTGGATTGAATTAAAATGAAACTTAGTAAGGACAAATATAATTTTACAGTGGGATTAAAAAAAAAAGCCAACTTCATAACACAAGATCAGTTGATTAAATAAGCCTTTTTTTAAGCACCCACTATGTTCCAGGCTCTGTGATATGTTCTGCAGATAAAAAGACAAAAGTAAATAAGCCCTTATCCCCAAGGAGCTGTCATTCTAATCAAATGTAAGATGGGGGACCCACGATTGGACAATAATCTACCAAAAAAAGATCTGGGGGTTTTGGCGGGCCACAAGCTTGATAGTCGTGCTATGAAAACTAAGAAGAATAATGCAGTTTGGGCTACATTAAAAGGAGCATCGCTTCCATTCTGTCTGAGTCAGACCACATCGGGAATCTTGTGTCTCCTTCTAAGCACCATGACCAAAGGAAGAAATTGAGTGAAAGCTCCCATGTGTGTTACCTCCCATTTTAAAACATGATCTGCTTGCTTTTCTGTTTGTATCCTTAGTGCTTCTCACAGTGGTTTGCATGCAATAAATGCTTAATAAAATGCATTTTTATCCTTTAAAAAAAAAAAGACATTGATAAACTTCAGAGCATCCAGAAGAGAGTGAGCAGGATGGCGAAGAGTCTTGAGTTCATATTATGTGACAATCAGTTGGAGGAAATTGGGTTATTTAGGTTAGAGAAGAAAGGATTTGCGGGGGACCTGTAATCATGTCTTCAAGCATTTGAAGGGCTAGCAAATGGAAGAGAGATGTCTGGCCCTAGAGACAAGCAAAAAGCAATGGGAAAAAGGTGCAAATGGCTGATTTAGAGCTGAGGGCAAGAAAGGCTTTCTAACAATGTGACTTATACTAAAGTGGAAAGGCATACCTCAGATAGAATGGGTTTCCCCTCAGTGGAGACTTGGAGGCAAAGCCTAGATGACCATCTAGTAGGGATGTGGTAGAAAACACTCTTTTTCAGGTGCCAACTGGACCAGCTGGGCTTTGAGGTCTCTTCTAGTTCGGAAATTCTCTGATTCTAAAAGCTTAGCCCCTCACCACCAACTACTCTGGTGTCCTCCTACCCCACCCCAGACTAGGGGTGTCAAACCCAAATAGAAATGGCAGCCAATCGATATACATAAGGCTCCCTGAGGGCTGTAGATTGACTTAGAAAACTATATATTAACATTATCTGTGTTGTACTGCACTTTTATTTATTTTGTTAACTATTTTCCAATTGCATGTTCATTGGGCACTGCAGAGTGGTACGGGTCTTGTTTTTGACACATCTGCCCTACATTGTGAAACCTGCTCAAATTCTTCCACCCAATATTACACAGAAGAGCCTTCATTTCAATAGGCATCACAAGAATACACATTCCTAATAGTCACAAGCACAAGCCCAGGTCGGGGCACCCCCTGCCTTTTTAGGTGGGTCCCAACCTGGGAGTCACTGCCCTCCCCAGCCAAAGATGGCACTGCCTGGTGTGATGTGTGAACAGCAAACCTTCTCATGCCAAGAACACATTCATTATTGTCCCAGGAGTTTTCCGTTACTGCCATCTACCTGCTGGTATGAGTGATAGCCCAGGATATATTCTAGAAATGAGCAAAAAATTAAAAGAGTCTAATGTGCGTGTTTACATTGGTGGAAAGAACTACCCCTACCAGAACAAGCACCAGGTGAGGGCCAAAGTTAATCATAATTCTTCCCTTGGAAACCAAAAGCGGATAAAAAGTATTTAGCAAACTCACCTGGTCTGGCAATGTAGCAGCAACAGGAGTGACCTGAGGGTTGGGAGACGTGGATTTCTGTTTCCACTCCTACCACTGGCTTGCTGTGTGACCCTGGGCAAGTCACTTATTGTCTCTGAGCCTCAATGTCCTCATCTGTCAAGGTAAGCAGTTGGGAGAGATGCTTTATTTCCAAGGTCACTTCCAGCTCTGACATCTTAGGTTCTAAAATTCCTAGTTCTAAAGTTTCCTCCATCTTTGATATTGTGTGTTCTAAAGTCCCTTCAAGCCCTGAGTTTCTATAATCTGTAGTTCCTTCCGGTTCTATCATGCCACGTCATTACAATCAACTAGCATTTATTAAGTATTTCCTAGGTGAGAAAAAAAAGGGCACAACCAAAAAGAAAGCAAAACACCCAGCTCTTGCTCAAGGAGATTACAGTCTAATGGGGCAGGTAACATGCAAACTACACACAAATAAGATAAAAGATAAATGGAAGTAGTCTGGGAGGGAAGGCAGTAAGATTATTCATTAGACTTGAAGGAAGGCAGGGGGAAGGAAGCTCTCATACCTGAAGGAAGATAAGGATCATGCCAAAAGGTAGAGGAGGTAGTACATTCCAGACATTAAGGAGCAGCCTATGGCAGCAAGAAAAGGGATGTCAAGTTTGGAAAACTAGTAGGAAGGTCTGTCAGAAAGTTCATGTGAAAGGCATTTTATGAAAGAAAACTGGAAAGGTAGGAGGGAACCAGACATTAAGGGCTTCCTGAAAGGATCCCGGGGAGGTCCAACTGAGATAAGACATTGGAAAATGCTCCCTAAATGGTGGCCTCTCTTACCATTATTGCCTCCTCATGGCACACAGGCTGCCATGGGCTCACAAAGGCTATATACCAAGAGAACAAACGTTCTGACAGGTCGTACATCAAGCTGCAAAGGCTTCTGGGAACAGGCTCATCAATGGACTGTGTGTGTGTGTGTGTGTGTGTGGTGTGTGTGTGTGTGTGTGTGTGCGTGACCACAGATCCTTGAAGTCAATCGGTGAAAAATAACCACCTCATTTTTGTACCAGCTTTTACTTTCCAATGCATGTTCCTATCTCTCATGTTACTTGACTTTCACAATAGCCCTGTGAAGGAGGGTGTTATTGTTCCCATTTTACAGATGGAGAAGCTGAGGCCCAGAACAGGAAGTGCCCAAGATCATAAAGCTAGCCAAGGAGGCGGCCAACCTAGAAGTCCTCATCTGGGCTCTCCCCCAGGACCCTATATTGCAGCCCCTTCCTGTCTCATTCCACCGGACCTCTTCTGGGAGTGGTTTCTTTTAGACATTGGCTACAACTCCAGGGAGGCAGAGGAGGAGGCAGCTGTCATAGAAAGTATGTGTTCCAAGGCTCGGCTGGATCCCAAGCACCCAGGGCTTCCGGCAGGAAGTTCGTGGGCAGAGGAAGGCGATTCCTCCGGCCCAGCAGGAACAGATGCTAGGCCTCCTCGTGGGCCCTGGCTGTTGGGCAGAGGGGAGGGGCCTGGAGCCTGATGCTCACATAGCCCAACCCCTCCATCTCCATGGCCAAGCAGAAACCAGCACTAGCTTCCTTCCTGAGCCTGGACAACCAAGATCTGGGAGGGCACCAGCTGACCCCACATCAACCTGCCCCAAGAAGGCTCAGTGCTCCCCCACGCTCTTGGGGGCTGGCTAGCCTTAGGGCAGGCCTTTCCCCTTCTATGAGTCTGAATTCTCAGTGAGGTAGCCTACCGCTAGTTCTTAGACTTGACTTTCAAATTCACACCTAGCTAACAAATCCTCTGGGTACCAGTTTCCTAGTCTGTGAATAAAACGGTAGAACAAAATGATCTCTAAGATCTGTTCTAAGATTCTCACCTTCTCTGATAATTGGTCTTCTTAAACTCCTCCCAGCTCTGACATCCTGTGTTCTAAGGCTCCCTCCCAGCTCTGACATCCTGGGTTCTAAGGCTCCTCCCAGCTCTGACATCCTGGGTTCTAAGGCTCCTCCCACCTCTGACATTCTATGTTCTAAGGATCTTTCTATCTCTTGACATGCCATGTTCTAAGGATCTATCTTTGATGTTCCACGTTCTGAGGCCCATCTCACACAAGATGCTCTCTTCTATCTTCATGCCTTTTCACAAGCTACTTCCCAATGCTAGAATATACTCTCTCCTTACTCCAACCTTTTTGGGACCCCTGGCTTCCCTCAAGATTCCGCTCAATCATCTTCTACATGAAGCTTTTCCTGATCCACCCATCTCCGAGAATCCTCTCTTCCTCCCCAGACTACCCTGCATTTATTTTGAATATACTTTTGCCTACTTAAATATGCCCATGTTGTCTCATTAGGATGTAAGCTCTGTGGGAGTGGACGGTGTTTCTTTATTTCTGAATCTCCAGACTTAAGCCCAGTGCCAGACACCAGATAGAAAGATAAAGCAACATCCCTTGGCTCAGAGCTTACATCCCAAGACAAGGTGCACATGTTAATGGACGGATTGATCTAATTCGCAGAAAGCCTACAGACACTAAGGGGCAAATGGCAATGCTTGGACAAAATGCATTGGTTTTCACCTTTGTCCCACCAGTAGAAAGAGCCCTGAATTCACTCAGTCAGAGAACCTGAATTCTCTGCTATGGAAGGGTGACCTTGGGCAAATTTCTGGGTTTCCTCATCTGTTCAATGAGAAGCTTGGACCACATGATCTCCAAGCTCACTTCCAGGACTAAATCAATCAATTAGTAAATATTTTATTAAATGCCCACCATGGGTGGTGCTGGGAGCCTAGACAAAAAATTAGACAACCCTTCTGCTTACTATATCCATGCTTTCTAGAAGCAGGCCCAGACCCTTAAGGAGGTTGGGTGGGTACTAGCAGCTGGGGGTGGGGGAGGGGCCAGAAAAGGCTTCCAGTAGAAGCAGCCTTGAGCTACACCCCGCCACACACACACACACACACACCCAGGAGGGCGATCTTAGTGTGGAGAGAATGGCTTCTATGGATCCAGTGTTCTGCAAGCAGAAGGTGCTGAAATCAGCATCAAACCCCAAGCCCTATCCTTTCTACCAATTCAGCCCGAGCCCTGCTGGCTAAGGGTCTGCACCTTGACCCCACGGCCACCAGAGGGAGCCCATGCTCCTAGGGAAAAAACCCATTCAGATTGGGCTGCATACCTCTCTGCAGGGCTGGCTCTTGCCAAAGGCAAGAGACAAGGTCCAGTTCCCAGCAGCTGCAGCAATGGGTCATGCTGAGGGAAGGGTGTGTCTGTGAGAAGATACTCTCCTTAAATGAACTCAGCTTGGCACAGAGGAGAAAAGTGACCTCCCTTAGGCATAGTGAGAGCTACATCTTGGGTAAGCCCCCAGTCAAGAAAGATCAAGGGGCTGGTTGGCCCTCTGGCCTTCGGCCACATCCCTTAGAATTCATTCAAACATTTAATAAGAGTCTGCAGCGGGCAAAGCAATGGGCTGGGTGCTGAGGAGCATACAAAGTTTAGAAATGCCATAACACGGTCACTACGGTCACCAAACTGTCCTAATGGCAGTGGAGTAAATTAAGCTCTTAAGCCCCATAAGGCCATTCAAAGTTGTCCTCTCAGGTTTCTGTGCCCCATCTTATTCCTTCTAGCCCCTCTTCTCATGCAAATCAATCCCACCTGGAAGCATCTGTGTTATAAGTGAAAAAAGGGCAGTGCCGATTTGGGATCATGGTATGGCTCTGATCCTTGTTCTTCCACCAGCCCACTATAATCCAGGCAGGTCACTTTCCTTCTCCTGGCCTGCTCCCTCACCTGTAACATTTAGGGGACTGCCTCCCCCCCAAAAAAAAGCCAGAAGAAAATGCCCCTTCCGCTTCCTTTTTTGCAGAGGTGAGAGGCTGTGGTTGTGGAAGACTGCCTATACAGTCACATTCAGTTGATGAGATGGTTGGTTTGGTTGAATTACTTTGTTTCCTACATTTTCTTTTAGTTGATAAGTATTTATTAAGCACTATGTGCCAGGTACTTCTGCTAAATGCTGGAGGTACAGAGAAAGCCAAAAGACAGGCCCTGATTCTCAGGAGTTCAAAGGCTAATGGGGAAGGAAGAATGCAAAATGATTACGTACAAACAAACTCTAGATAGGATAAATTGTAGATAATCAACAGAAGGAGGCACTAAATGAAAGCGAACCAACTCTGAAGTCCTCTGCTCCAGTCCATATTGAACTCTATCTCCAACATCTCACCCCCCCCCCATAAGTCATATCTAGCTTTGGCTAGGAGACCTTCAAAGACAGGAAGGAACTTGCTGTCTCTTGAGGCATCTTATTCACCCCTTTAGAAAGTTCTAGCTCTTAGTCTTTCCATCTGCCTCTCTCCAACTCAGTTCTGGGGCCAAGCAGAACAAATTCAATCCTACTTCCACATGAAAGTCAGTCAAATATGAGGAGACAATCTCCCTGCCTCCTCTAGCCCAAGTCTTCCCTTTCCCAGGCTAGCCCTCCCTTTTCCTGGGAGAGTCTCCTTCTGGTCCCATCCCCATTCTGGCTGACCTCCCACCCCCACGGGTTCTCCAGTTAGTCTGACCTTCCTCTCATGCAGCACCCAGAATGGAACATAATCCCCTGCAGACACAGTCAGGGTTTCAGAGGACAGCCAGCCAGACCAGCACGGCTCCCTCTGTTCTGGACACAGGTTGCTGTGCTTCTCTTAATGGAATGTCTTGGACCTTGAACAAGTCCCTGGCCCTTATGAGAGACCCTGTGGAGAATGATGGGCCAAAGCTTGGGAAACCCTGAGAGCTTCATCAATCAGTTCTTCCTGCAGTCCAGCAGTACGCAGTTATCCCTTCCACAGCCAACTTTCCCCATCGTGATTTCAATATATCAAGGTCACATAAGAAACTAAATGGGAAATTGGGGGCAGTTTTGCAGAAGCTGCAGATGACACAGAAAACATTTAGAAACTCAGAAATACGTAATATATGTATAGTATTGTATGATATCAATACATTTTATCTTTTAATACCATAACAATTCAGACTTCTCTGGCAGGAAGGGAAGGCCAAAAACTTTTCTGTGGATTTTCCAGATCAGAGGGGGTGCTGAGCCCCTAACACCCCCTCCTTGCAATGTAAGGAATGGGACTGAGGGTTTGGAGTGGAC